TGGGCTAAGAGCTTTACACATGACTTAATGGGGGTGTTGGGAGCATTTGAGACATGCAAAGGCATAAAGTTGCCAACTTTATGCCTTAGGTCGTCTTAATGGGGTTGGATCTGACTTCTGGACATAAAAGGATCAAGTATTAATCACTTAATGGAAAAAGTGCTTAATCTGTTAGTACGCTAGGCATAACCCAGTGTACGCTGCGCGTAAGCCCTAGAACCCCAGTACGCTGCGCGTACCAGGAGGGTACGCTAAGCGTACGCATCTCAGTTGGGCCAAATCCGTTTTGGGCTTTTGAGCTATTTGGGCCTCATTTGAGTATTGGACATAGTGGTATTCTGAGAATTAGGAGTCCTATCATCTATTATGGGTCATTGACATATTGATTGGGCCTTAGTGGCCCAAGAGGCCCATTAAGGATTTTGGACTTGGACTTTGGGCCCAATAGCAAGGGATGGATAATTGGGCCTTATGGAAGGGCTAGGAGTTTGGGTCTCCCTTGATGATTCAAGTCCTAACATTATCTCATATTATTATTCAGCACCGGAGGTTGCAGCCTGTTAGGAGAGCAACTTTTGTATTCAGCAGACAAAGGTAAGTCTCCTCACCATACCAATGGGTCTAAGGCACCAAGGCCGGCCCATTAATTGTTATGTGATGTGTTATGCTTGATTATTTGTGACATTTTCATGAAAGACCTCGGGGGGTTCCCGAGGCACCTGGTATAAGACCTCGGAGGGTTTCCGAGGCATCCTCGGTAAAGACCTCGGGGGGTTCCCGAGGCATCTGGTATAAGACCTTGGAGGGTTTCCAAGGCATCCTTGGTAAAGACCTCGGGGGGTTCCCGAGGTGCATGGGCTAACACCTCTGGGGGTTCCCGAGGCACCCGGAGTAAGACCTTGGAGGGTTTCTAGGGCATCCCTATATGTTGTGTGCATGACTTATGTGATGTATGTAGCCGTAGGGCTAATATGATATGTGGTAACTGATTTGTATGTGTGGTATGCTCTGGGGAACTCACTAAGCATTAGCTTACAGTTTGTGGATTTGTTTCAGGTACATCTGAGCCCAAGGGCAAGGGCAAGGCTTGATGGCATGGCGTGCACTCTCACATGGATGTTTTACGGGACACCCTGATAAACTGAAAAATAAAGATGTTATGAATATGGATTTGAAACAATTGTTTTGGAATTTCTGGATTCATGGGAATGTATTTGGTTAATTAAAAATGAAAAATTTGTTTTGAAAATTTGGGTTGTTACAGTATGGATCAGACATACCAGATCCGGGAGTACGGATCAGGTAAAGAGGTTAGTTTTAAATCCAGAAGTATGGATTAGGTGTTTTTGAACTAAGTGTTCACTAGGTGTTCATTAAGAAATTTTAAACTGTGTGTTCACTAGATGTTTTGAACTATGTGTTTACCAGGTATATTTGAACTACGTGTTTACCAGATGTTTTGAATTATGTGTTCACCAGTTGTAATTTAAGAACCCTGGCAGCTATGGACTTAGTGCCTTATATATATATATATATATATATATATATATATATATATATATATATATATATATATACGTTGGTAGCTATGGATTTAGTATCGTATAGATGAACATTGGTAGCTATGGACTTAGTACCTTGGCAACTATGGATTCAATGCTTGTAGTATAAACCTCGGCCAGCGATGGACTTCGTGCCTATTCCTTAGGTCAATCCTTAGGAATGAAGGATAGCTGATTCTTAGGGTAGATCCTTAAGATTAAAGAATATAATGAGGATGGGTAATTGAGTTGATTGTTTGATGATTAAATATAATAATTATATTATTGTGAGTTGAAAACCCTATGTATTCACCAGGTTTCCCAACCTGACCCACTCAGTCTATTTGTATCACAGGTATCGATACGAAGTTACTTTACACTGAGAGAATAAAGAAGATGTAGATCACTAGTGTAAATAAATGTAAGGTCTGTTTATGCTTATGTTTCAGTATTGACGATGACATCCCAAAGTTTTAATATGAACAAAATACATTACTTCGGAAATGTTTTGATAATATATTTATCATGTTTTTCTGGGAACAAATTCCGCAATATATTTATTTAAAAAACTATACTCTGATTTTCAAATAAAGCATAAACAAATCGGTCTTTTCTGGACGTGAAATTGGGGGATGTCACAGGCACCAAGTCCCGAAATTAGGGTTTCCCAACCCAGGCCAGACTCTCTGAGTCAGTCCCCCGACTCGCCGAGTCAGCCACTTAATCCGCGACACGGAACTCGCTCCTACTCGTCGAGTTCTTCCCTGGACTCGACGAGTTGACTCCTTGACTTAGGGTTTTCCTTTCCATTCTTGGTCTGCTGGATTAGGGGTGTTACATTAAAGTTCATTACTTTATTAGCCTAACCTTAGGATTTGGTCTATCACTAATCATAATTGTCAACGATCATGATCAACTATGATTTAAGTCATACAATCAAATTGGTCATCTAGACTGCAATAATTTAACAATATGCAATAAAGAAACAAGCTTTAACATGTGAGAGTCTTTGGTTAAACTATCATTGATAAAATAAAAACTCTTAATATCCAAATATCAATCAACTCATAAACTATGGTTCATCAACGACTAAACTGCACAAATGGTCCCTGTGGTTTGCTCAAAATTGCTACTTTGGTCCAAAAAGGTTTGGACTAGCACCAGAGGTCCAAAGTTTTCATTTTGTTGCTTGTTTAGTCCAATCTGTTCTGATTTTTTTCAAAATGACGAATCTGCCCCTGTTTATATGAATTTCTCTTTTTTCTTATTTGTTTTTATGATTTTCAGATTTAAAAAAATAAAAAATAAAAATAAATCTCTCTCTCTCTCTCTCTCTTTCTTAAAATAATAAAAAGAAAAATAAATCTCTCTCTCTCTCTCTCTCTCTCTCTCTCTCTCTCTCTTTCTTCTTCCCTCTTCATTTGTTCTTCATGGTTCTCAAGAACCCCTCATCGTCGAATCCACCACCGTCCATCTTCAGCCACCCCTCATCCTCACTCCCTTCATAATCCGAACATGGACCCAACACCGTTTTACCACCCTCACCATTCATCACCTTCACCAACCTTCAACCTCAACAGAACCTTTCATCATCTATCACCACCCTCATTTATCCATCACAACCTACACTACCCACTATTAGCCACCACCGACCCTACAACCCATCATTTTCTCCATCAGATCATCACACCACCATTGAAACACGATTGACTGTCATCAACACAAAATGATCGCCAAACCACCAACAACACCAAATCTGCCAAAAAATTAAGAAAAAGAAATTAACCAGCGGATATCCTAACCCTTTCATAGTGGCGCTGAAATAAGAATAGTCGCTTAGGGTTTTCTGAAAACCCTAACTCGCCGCCCTTCGTCTTCTCTGTAACGTTGTCGCCAAATCGCTAGGGTTTGCTGATGAAGAAAGCAGAGAAACATGGAGATAGACGAGGCTCGCCGGAAGAACGATAGTTTACAGATCTAGAGCTTCGTCGAGTTGCAACAGAGTTTTTCAGATCGCCGGAAAAACGAAGGTTTATAGATATAGATGACGACGATGAGATCGGAGAAAGGGTTTACAAGTGGATGGCGACGGCGAGATGGTGGTCCATGGCAGATGGTGCCTGAAGGCGGTGGTGACTGAGGGCGACGACGGTGGTGGAGTCGACGATGAGGGGTTCTTAAGAACCTTGAAGAACAAATGAAGAATGAAGGAGAAATAGTGTGTGTGTGGGGGGGGGGGGGGGGAGAGAGAGAGAGAGATTTATTTTTATTTTATTTTATTTTTTATTTTTTTAAATCTGAAAATCAGAAAAAAAAATCATATAAACAGGGGCAAATCCGTCATTTTGAAAAAATCAGAACAGATTGGACCAAACAAGCAACAAAATGAAAACTTTGGACCTCTGGTGCTAGTCCAAACTTTTTTTGGACCAAAGTGACACTTTTGAGCAAACCACAGGGACCATTTGTGCAGTGTAGTCTTCATCAACTCATTAGCAAAAACAAAGTGGTATAAGCCCATATTTGAGACAAGAACATAAAGAAACCATAAGGCTACAGGGAGTGGCCTCGCCAACTCCCTCGCTATGCTTACATGGATTAGTGCTACTACTCTTTCACAATTATCCCTCGCTATGCTTACATGGATTAGTGCTACCACTCCTTCACAATTGTTAAACCCATGTGCCAAGATTGTCTCGCCAACCACTTGACGAGATGAAAGAGAAGATGGAAAGGATAGTAGGTGGTCCCCTTCTCACCATTTCATTGTTTCAACTTTAAATAGTTGTAAATTCTGCTTAATAACTTGTACCTTGTTAAAGTCTATATTAATTTAATATTTAAATAAACATTTATTTGATTTAAGAAATAAAAGTTTTTATCTTTTAAACACAACATTATTCCATATCATCAACCTATACTTAGGTTTACATAAAAAATATGATTTGACAATGGTTTAACACATGCCACCACATGCTATCACTCCTTTTAGCTTAAATAGACTGCTAAATATATCAGGAAAAGCAAACCATATGATTTCCTAATGATTATGCCTTTGATCCTTTTAAATTCATGTTCTATGTGAGCTTTACTGCCTTCCGGTCATCTTATGGACTCTCAAAACGACACCTCTAATGTGTATTTTATGCTCCAAGATCAGAAGATCTTATGATTATGTCAAGGATAATGACCCTTTTATAACATTTAGCCGGCCTTAAAAACACACATATAGATGAAGCATGCATCGCATAATGCGAATGTCCTTGAAGCACACATCAATTTTTAACTATTGATTTCCATCGACTAATAAGTTGCGATGGTATTGCAAATGCAAACGTGTAAACACATCACTCATACATCGAGTATATCTGCCACATCAGAAAATCCCATTTTACGAAAACGAAAAGCAAAATGAATGGACAAATCCGTTCCCTTCCGTTTTGTTTTTATTTATTTTTCCTTTTTCTTTTGAACCGCAAATCTGCAAACAAACCGTGAGAGGATCCGCTGCGGAGCCAGAGATGGAGGCCCATGCTCTTCGAGGCTTCCCATGTCCCAGCAATGCACACGTCGACACCCACCATCCCACACTACCCCGTATCCGTATCCACCACCCGCTATCCTCGCCGGAAATTAGTCAACGCATCTTTCGTGTTTCTCATTCAACCACAAACAAACGACGTCGCCACTTCCGCATCGGAGCTCTTCACCGGAGGAGTCCGGAGGAGGAGAGTACAAGCGTAGGTGAAGTTCGGCAGAGCAGACGAGATGTTCTGGTGATGCCGTTTATTGCGATCGGAGCTTATGTGCTCCGATCGACAGTAGCTAGGGCGGATGAGAAAGTAGCGACTGAAACTCAGGTTGCGCCAATTGCAGTTACGGAGACGAAGACGAAGACGGAAGCGGTGCCGGCGGCGCCGGCGAAGGTAGAGGTGAAGAAGGAGGAGGTGATTAATTCAAGGATTTATGATGCGACTGTGATTGGAGAGCCTATGGCTGTCGGGAAAGACAAAGGGAAAATATGGGAGAAGCTGATGAATGGTCGGATAGTTTATTTAGGGGAAGCGGAGCAAGTACCGACTCGAGATGACAAGGAATTGGAGGTTGAGATCCTGAGGAGTCTAACTAAGAAGTGTGCGGAGGCGAATCGCCAGATTACATTGGCTCTGGAAGCATTTCCAGCTGATTTGCAACAACAACTCGATCAATTCATCGATAAAAGGTGTGATTCCTTTTACCTTCCTCTTAATTACCAGTATCACTGTACAAGTGCTAAGAAAATCGATCAATACGAGCATTTTGGTTCTTTGTTTACACTGCTTATTACTTAAGCCATTATTCATCATGGATGACAGAATTGATGCAGAGACCTTAAAGCCTTTTGTGTCAAACTGGCCACCTCAACGTTGGCAGGAATACGAGCCTCTTCTAAGCTACTGTCGTGATAATGGAGTCCGCATAGTTGCATGTGGTACACCACTTAAGGTACTTTTTTTCCTATCAAAAACCAAAGGTTGAAATGATGATTTGATTCAAGCTGATATATATTACACTACTTACAAAGACAATTCTTGTGATGTCTCCAGATCCTGAGAACTGTTCAAGCTGATGGGATCCGTGGGCTTTCAAAGGCTGACCGGAAAACTTACGCCCCTCCAGCTGGTTCAGGTTTCATTTCAGGATTCACATCAATCTCACGAAGATCATCAATGGAAACAATTTCCATAAATCAATCCATCCCATTCGGCCCAAGCTCATATCTTTCTGCACAAGCCAGAGTTGTTGAAGAGTACACCATGTCTCAGATCATTTTACAAGCAGTAACAAACGGAGGAGCTTCAGGAATGCTGGTTGTAGTGACCGGTGCGACCCATGTTGCTTACGGGTCAAGAGGAACCGGAGTACCCGCAAGAATTGCAAGAAAAATGCAAAAGAAGAATCAAACAGTCATATTACTTGATCCTGAAAGACAATACATAAGACGTGAAGGTGAAGTTCCTGTTGCTGATTTCTTATGGTATTCTGCTGCAAGACCATGCACCAGAAACTGCTTTGATCGTGCTGAAATTGCTAGAGTCATGAATGCAGCTGGCAGGAGACGTGATGCATTGCCACAGGTTAGTTGACTTGACTCACCCCATGGTCAAACATAACATAGTATAAACTTATGATATTTTTTTTTTTGTTTTGGTATCAGGATATTCAAAAAGGATTGGATCTTGGTCTTGTATCTCCAGAAGTGCTTCAGAATTTCTTTGATCTTGAACAATACCCTCTTCTTTCAGAGCTGAGTCACCGTTTCCAGGGTTTCAGAGAAAGATTATTAGCAGATCCAAAGTTTTTAAACAGATTAGCCATAGAAGAATCAATATCAATAACCACTACTCTCCTTGCACAATACCAGAAACGAAAAGGAAAGTTCTTTGAAGAAATCGACTATGTGATGACAGATACAATCAGAGGAATAGTGGTTGATTTCTTTACAGTATGGCTTCCAGCTCCTACACTCTCATTTCTTTCATTTGCTGATGATGATGATGCTAGTGGGCCGGATGCACTATTGGGCCTACTTGGGTCCATACCGGATAACGCATTTCAAAAAACTCTTGCTGGGAAAGACTGGAATGTGGGGCATAGAGTTGCTTCGGTGGTTGTTGGTGGTGTAAAGCTTGCTGGTGTTGGATTTGTTTCAAGTATTGGAGCTGTTGCTGCTTCAAATGTGTTGTACACTGTACGCAAGTTTCTAAATCCACAACTTTTGAATGATCAACAGACTAAAAGATCACCTATTCTGAAAACCGCAGTTGTTTACAGTGGGTTTCTTGGGACATCGGCTAATCTCCGGTATCAGGTATTCCATTCCATTCCAGTCTTTTTCAATTCCAATGTAGATTTGATTCCTCCTTTTTTATGTCAGTCACTTAGCGGGCTACCTGATTTATCATGCAGATTATTGCTGGATTGGTGGAGCATCGAATCTCGGATATGTTTGCTGACCAAACTTTATTTGTAAATTTGTTATCTTTTGTGTCACGGACGATTAATTCCTACTGGGGAACTCAGGTTACAATAAAATATATTGATTTTTTTTTTTTTTAATTATTTGGTTGTGGATTAATTTTTTTACAAAGGTTTTAAATCTTTTTTTGCAGCAATGGATAGATCTTGCGAGGTTTACAGGACTACAGGCTCAAAAGAGTGAAACATCCTTATTAAGCCAAAGCCAAACAACAGAATCTGCAAATCCTGCGGAATTGAACCAAACAGTAGAATGTGTGAATCCTGCAGCATTAGGTTGCAACACTACAGAGGAAGCTGGTATTGATGAGACCAAAAGTCAATGAGATTGATGAGGGCATATTCTGTAAGGAATGGCTTTTTGTTTTCCTTTTAATGATTATGATCGTTAATGTAAGTTAAAATATGAATTTGGGTATATTGGATACAACACAAGGTGAAAGGTAGATTAGAGGCTGAAAATGGGCATTTTTCTTGAACTTGTTTAGGTATATAATCCTTGGCTTTGTAAAGGAACAAATTTTGATCGACTAACTGTTTATAAATTGGTTACTAGAATTTTACTCGTTTGTAGGTTGTAGTTGATAAACTCCTTGATTCAAGTAGTTTTATTTTTCAAAGAGCACAATGTAACAATAATTCGATCACTTTAAGTGTTGTCTAATTAATCAGAGAAGACTAAATGCCCTGGGTTTATAGATGGGCATGAAATATAATCACCCATGCATTGACAATTTGATATTAACTAGTTATCATAAAATAGAACAACTTTTAATCAAGTTAACGAAAATACTCTACATCAGAGACTATACATAATAGGTGACTTAACAATTTAAACTAACTGAGGTGTCTAATTATCTTAACTGATTCAGTATTAACAAACTAACTAACAGCTGACTATTTACATAATTTCCCTTTAATGATTTAAAAGGAAATCCATTGTAGGGATGAGATTTAGAACCGGAAAACCGGACCGGAACCGGAACCATTAGAACTGGAATATGTAGAACCGGTCCACGTCCCGGGTCTAAAGAATGGCTTTATCCGGGTTCCGGGTCCGGGTAAACCAGGTTTAAGAACCGGAACTGTGTTAGGAACCAGAACTGGTTTTAGGGGCCGGAACCGGTTTTTATAAAAAGTTTAAAACATGAATATCTCATTCGTTTGAAGTCGGATTGACATGGTTTTTTCCAGAGTGTAGTTTATAGTTTGTACATGATTTTAGACTATAATTTTGTCATTTTCGGTTTCATATTCATTGATTTACAGTCCCTCAAAGTCGGGATATCAATGCTGTGAATTTTCTGTTTTTCAGCTTTATTTTTATGTTTTGTGAAATTTTAAAAATGCATATCTAATTCGTTTAAAGTCCGATTATCATGAAGTTTTTTTTTGCAAATTGTAGTTTAGAGTTTGTACATGATTTTAGACTATAATTTTGTGATTTTTGGTTTCATATTTATTGACTTACAGTCCCCCAAAGTTGGAATATCAATGCTGTGAATTTTCTATGTTTCAGCTTTATTTTTATATTTTATGAATTTTTAAAAATACATATCTAATTTGTTTGAAGTCGGATTATCATGAGGTTTTTTTAAATGTGTAGGTTAGAGTTTGTACATGATTATATACTATAATTTTGTCATTTTTTGTTTAATATTCAATGACTTAAAGTCCCCCAAATTTGGGATATCAAAGTTCGAAATTTTTCCAAGTTCAACCATTAAGTAATTACCAAAAAATTCCGGATTTTTCGGGTTTTTCGGTTCTAGATCCACTTTACCCGGTTCCACCCGACCCATTTTAATGTTTCCGCCTTTTCCGGTTTTCCGGTTCTAGACTCACTTTACCCGATACCTTACCCGAAACCGATTCTTATATACCAATCCGGTTTCCGGTCCTACAAAATCCCGTTAGCCGGTTCCCGGGTTTTCCGGGTCCAGGTCTACCAGTCCGAGTTTGGATCCACTCTCATCCCTAATCCATTGGACTTGATAGAAGAGTGTGTGCGATCACTATGTTTAAAAGGAAACTACCTTATTGAATTTAAAGAGGTATTAAAGTAACTCGACAGAAAAACTCCATAACTTCACAAGTTGTGTATATGTCATGGAGGTGACAAAACGAGTAATTTTATATATAGTGACTGAAAACTCTTTTGGTCTATATATTTATAATTTATAATATAGTTTGAGTGTGTGTTAATTATGCTTATAAAAAGACCATCATATTATTACAATAATAATCTAACCCATTAATAGATTTTTTCGGTCTTTGTTGAAAAAAATAATAATAATACTGTTTAAAGTTTTTAAATGATAAAACATAACGGCATAACGAATATAAAAAAGCCCATTTGTAACGAAATTCATCAAAATTAAATTACAACATCTCTCTCTATACTATTTATGGGCTGAAACTTGTAATCTAGCCCCCTAATGGAAAACTTAAAACGGCAAAGACGTGCAAATCATGTATAAAAGTTGTGCCACATAATATTAGTGAGAGTCTGAGAGCCGTGTTAAAATGTATATATAATATAATTCATAGTTGCCAACCGACCAGATAAGGCGACAAACCCTGCCACGTCACCCACTAGTGATAGTCAATATTTGTAGCTTTCCACTTTTCAAATCCAATCCAACGCTCAAAAATCGATCTTACAACATATGACGTTAATCTACACCGTTGATATAAATAAATTGTTTGCCACCTACAGTCATATATATTTATAATAAGTAGCTACAAATATTAATATCATCTCTTATTAGTTACTAGAAAGGTTACCCCGCTACGTGGGGACCAGAAACTTTCAATGTTGTTTCTGAATTGATAAATATGACAGACATAGAAAGTGCAAGGATGAAAAGTCCGGGCTTTGCCCCGGACAAAAAATGTAAAAGTTTTGATTGCAAGGACCAGAAGTGTGAAAATGGCTAAAGAATTAAAGGGATATGAATTAGCAACTTTTTAGAAAAGGGATCAAAGTTGTCAAACCGTTAAAGTTTTGTGGCCAAACTTTAAATATTAAAAGGTTCCAAAAAAATATAAAAATATTGATTGCAAGGACCAAAAGTGTGAAAATGAGTAAAGAATAATGACCAAAGTTGCCCAAAAAACATCCAAATTTAGTATTCATAACTTCCAACAATAATACATGGACCAATTCTGCCAAAAAAATAGGAAGTTGAATGGAACACAAACAAAATGACATGAATAAATTAATTAAAAAAGTATAGGGACCGAATATGTAAATCAGTGGACAAAACCTGGACAAAATATCCAAACTTTACCGTTCCTTTCTTAAGCAACTTTAATATATATATATATATATATAATAATTACCACCTTCTCTTCTCTAGTCTGTACTCTGTAGTCCCTCCCTCAGGCCTCTACTCATGGGTAGTTCCACAAGAACATTGAAGATAGGAATTATAGGGTTTGGTACCTTCGCACAGTTCTTGGCAAAGACGATGATAAAACAAGGCCATCTTATAAGGGCGACATCAAGATCAGACTATTCTGGGTTTCCGGGCGTCCATTTCTTTAGGTATGTATATGTATATGTATATGTATAACTCATCATAAATGCACCACGTAGCATCTTATATCTATCTAAATTTATATCTTGATATTATGATCTGATTTGGGTATGAAGGGACATGGAAGAATTTATGGGATTAGAGCATGATGTGATTCTGATATGCACTTCAATTGTATCTGTATCCCAAGTAGTGAAGTCTATCCCGTTTCATCGCCTTAAAAAACCACTTCTATTTGCCGATGTACTCTCCGTCAAAGAACACCCACGACAACTCCTGTTACAGGTCTTACATTTCATTAATTAAAGTAATTCGTATTAATTATTACTTAATTATATATGATTAATTGTAATAATTTGGGTAAAATAAGGAAGTTCCTCACGACTCGGATTTGGTGTGCACTCATCCTATGTTCGGACCAGAGAGTGGGAAAGACGGGTGGAAAGATTTGCCGTTTATGTATGAAAAAGTACGAGTCAAGGATGAAACTCTGTGTTCCTCTTTTCTTGCCATTTTCGAGAATGAGGTAAACCATAACAAATCCAATCAATGTTTGCCCTTTTAACATTTTTTACAATAACATATTCAAATTCAGGGATGCAAAATGCTGGAAATGAGTTGTGAAGAACATGATAGACTAGCTGCCCAAAGTCAATTTCTTACACACACTATAGGCAGGTAGGTTAGATACACACACACACACACACACACCTTGCCATGGTTATAACAGAGTTTTCACTGATTTCTAATGATGACGATATCTTGCTGTTTTTACTTGCAGGGTTTTATCAGAAATGGAAATTTGGAACACACCGATAGACACAAAGGGATTTGAGAAGCTGATTCAAGTGGTATGTATACAATATATGTTCAACCTTGTTATATAAAATCAAGAATATACAGAATAAAAATTAACAGGAGATTTGATTTGATTTGAGTTGCAGAAAGAAAGCAGTACGAGGGATAGTTTTGATCTGTATAGTGGGCTGTTCATACACAATAGGTTTGCCAAACAGCAGGTGTGTGCAAAATTAATGATTTTTATGGGATAAAAAAATGGATTAATTTATAATAAGACTTAAAACATATATATGTATTTGCATTTATTTTATGGCACAGCTGCATAATTTAGAAAGTGCACTTGAGAGAGTGAAGGAGACGCTAGAAGCAAGGATAAACAACAATTAGCAAAGATGGACTAATGGTTGTTGGTTTTCAAGAAAATAACATGAAAACTTCATTTGTATCATTTACAAGACTTTATTATAGTCTTAATAGCACTGTACTTTGTGCGATGTTGACTTAATATCGCTGTTGTTAACTTAAACACATTGTCACTTAATAACATTGTTCCTAATAGCATTGTTGTTAATGGTTTTTTTTTTATTAGGTGTCTATTCAGTTGGTTTCAAACAATGTCTGTTCTTAATAGTGGATGATTGATTGATACACCAATAGTTGCTGATCGATACAATGTAATAGGAATGATAAAATATGCAATTGGTTCAATGTTGATAGACAAAAATGGAGAATAGGGAAGAAAGAGGACTTAAAGGCCCCCCTGATGACAACAAATAAAAAAATAACTAGTCACATTATCATCTACGTATCATTATTTTGGATAAAATTGTCAAGGCAGAAACCAAGAAAAAAATTATAAAAATGGACAACTTTTTTTGCTCAAGACCCTTTGTAGATAACATCAAAATAAAGAGATTAATATAAAAATAAGGCAATAGTTACATGTACATTTTCGAAAAAAAATCTATTTTGTTTAGATATAATTTAAATAATTAAACATATATGTACTATTAATTTTTCCATTTGGTTTAATCACATCCAGAATATGAGTATTTTAGAAGTCTTTTCACTCCAAAAAAAAAAAACACATGGAAAGTGAAAAAAAAAACTATTTGTAGAGCTTTTTCAAACAACTTTTTTTTAAAAGTCTTGCTAATTAACAAGCTCTTCTATTGAATTTTTTCAATGATTTGGTGGGTTTCATAGGCTTTCAACCAACTATAAATAAAGACTTCTATAAATGTCCCATAAAAAAAGACATAATAAAAACGCTCTCATATTAAATAAGGTTTTCATTTTAATTTTTTACATAAAAAAACAACGATAAAAAGCTTTCGTATTGTGGACGTTATAAGATCAAAACGCTCTCATATTAAATAAGGTTTTCATTTTAATTTTTTACATAAAAAAACAACGATAAAAAGCTTTCGTATTGTGGATGTTATAAGATCATCTAAGCTGAAGACCGATTTAAAATTTCGATTCCTCCTGTTTCAAACACAATATTTAAAATTTCTCATTCATTTTACATAAAAAATGGATAAATACCCAAACACTCCATACACCCCAAACACACACAATTTTGATTCACCCATCGACTCATACACGCTTTAACACAACATTTCACCCATACCCACACTTTGAATCATCCACCCGGTGAACATGTTACAAACATCATCTATTCAACATCAACCTCTTTTCCAACAACCATTTCAACAAATTACTTCCACCAACCAAACTATTTCCAAACATCACCTATTCAACATCAACCTCTTGTGCCATTCTTTCAGCTTCATCCGCATGTCGTTGAGCGCGTTTCTTATTGTCGCGTCCGATTGATCAACGTGGGGAGGAGGAAGATCTCTTCGATGTTGCCGGTGATGTCATCAGTGTCGGCGTTGAGGTCAATGTTGAAACGTCAAACGAACTTGAATTGCGAGACATATTTGATTGTACATCTGACGATGTTGGCGTTTTAATCCATTTTGGATCTTTTCTCACAATCCCCCATATTTTTTCATACTTGAAAATGTGACACATTTCGACGTGATATTGCTCACTCGCGTGGCTCTAAACACATCAAAATCGTCCGCATCATTTTGCTTTTGTGAAATTTTTTGCTGAAAATCTCATTAAACTTGGTGCACATACAATTAATTGGAGTCCACTTGCTACTAAGCATATCAATATTGCGATATGGAGGTTTCTTCATAAGTATGTGAATTTTTTCGAGCACGGCTTCCCAAAAACTAACTCCCCTCATGTCGTTTCCTATAGTTGGATTTTATGAAGTCCCACACCACGCGACCACCAAAGCGTACTTATCCTCCGATGTCCACCATAGTGGAGGTTCTTCACTTTTCATGATCGCTTTCCCTTTCTCTTTCCCTCTCCTACTACCTTTCGGTTGCGTTTCGGGCACCGTATCTTGCGTTTTTTGTATGGATGGTGGTTGTGTGGTTGTTTGTGGCATGGAAGTAAAAGTATTGAAAATGTTTTGCTACATGTAGGACGATGTATGAAATTGCATTGAGGGTGAGATGAGATTAAAACTGTTTCCTTGAAATGGTATTTGTTGTGACTTTTGAGAGTTGAAGAGATTCATATAACTCTCATATTGTGTGAAACTCGTCGTAACGAATGTGTTTGTGTTTGGTGGATGAGTGTTTGGGTTTTGATTCATAGGTAAAAAAGGTGTTTAAATATAGTGAGATATATAGAAGAATGGTGTGGCAAAAATGGTATGTAGAATGTAGTATATATAGTTAGTAGAAATTAATATGTATGTTTTTTTTAATTCAAATTTGATCTTTCACAATGGTCTTTTGAATGTTTCAAATTGAAAACGTGTGTTACGAATCGTTAACATGACATATGGGATAACATAACAGGTAGCAGTGTTTTGTCTGTTACCATGCCGTTGAGGTAAGCCATGTCAGCTCTAAGATTATTCCCATAATCTCATTGGTGACTAAAATTAACCCAAACATTCATTAAATATACTCTCTTCCGTCTATATATCCAATCAACCAAAACAATTTTTATCAACTCTATTAACAATAAAACAACCCAACATTCTATTTTTATAAAATAATTAAAATTATATAAAAATATATAAATATTAGTCATTGTTTGTCATAAAAAAAAATTATAAATTTCAGTCTTATTGTATACACTTTTGTTTCGCATGATATCATTGAATGACTGAAATGAATATCACGGACAAAGGGTAGGAGGATAAGGATAACGACGTGCTAGAGAGTTTATGGATAAGTATTACACGCGGACCATGCTCCCTTTCGGTCGCGTAAAATGTCGATCATTGCCCTTCATTTTACATTCTAGGATGCATATTGCTTGGACAGTATGGTAATTTCGACCTACGGAATGTCGATGTTAACGTCAATAAATATAATTTAATCAGTGTCAGTTCTGTAATTTCATTGACTATTGTGTCTCTTTCCCGAAGATCCACTAGTTATATACCGCCACATTATTTGTCACTCTCACTCGAAAGATATTTTCTCCATAGCTTCTGAAACTGTGTAAAGTGCAGGTGATGCCAATGGGTGTAGTTCAGCAGAATCAGCACGGGAATGGATTTCCATCGTCAGCCCTGAATCCGAACGCTCCGATGTTCGTACCGGCCTCGTATCGTAACGTTGAGGACTTCTCCGACCAGTGGTGGTCGCTCGTTCGGTCCTCCCCTTGGTTTCGTGATTACTGGCTTCGTGAGTGCTTCTCCGAATCACAATTTGATTTTCATTGTTCCGATAACTTCGATGCGTTCTTCCCTAACGAAGATTCGCTCCCTGACGTCGACTGTAAGATCCGTGGAACTGAAGGTAAATCAATTGAAATCACTAGCTCTTCGATTAATAGCGGTTAGTTCATCTGATCTTACTTTATTGTTGCTTTTTTTTCTATAGATGAACAGAGAGAGGTTCGAAAGGATTTGATTTTGTCGAGGGTTTCGAACTGGCGTAAGGCACGCGCTATAGAGTCGCCGAGGAACTACGAGAAGGCGCCGAAGATTGTGAATGTGAAAGTGAATCCGAGGCCGATTCATCAACCGCGATAGATCATCGAGTCACATACCGATTTAACGGCAGACCGAGTCAGATTTCTAGTGTACGTCTCTTTAGTTGTTCTGTAAACCGATTGTAAATACCAATAAAAATGAATAGATTCAAGAGGCCGTTAAGAGTATCATTTATTGTGTGAAACCAAAACCATAACAACTAGGGTTCATATTTCGACGGATGTTTGCAAGAATCTGTCTTTAAAAAGATGTATTAAAAGGAACTGAGTCCTCATTCTCAGTCATCAGTCGAGAAAGCCAAACTATAAAAACATGGAAAACAATTGTTATAAATCCTGGTTGTCGATGAACTTCATCCAGAACAACATAGATCGAGTCTTCAATTTTGTTTTTTTTCACTTATCCATTGATTCGTTCATCATAATTAAAGCATTGCGAGCATGATAACTGAGATCTTGAAGTTGTCAGCCAACCGAAGTGTGATTTGAGATTTTATTTTGAACTTAGAAGACTTTTAAGGCATTGAACTTAACTTTTTAGGCAGAATGAAGTCTTTTTAATCAAAATGAGATCGACTCATTGATCGAGTGTCTTTGAGATTTTTTGAGTGTGTTTTTGAACTTAAAAAAGTTTTTTAGGCAAAATAAGTCATTTTAGTAAAAAATGACATGATTTAGGATAACGGGAGTCAGATGTTAAGAACGCTCGCTAAGCCCAAACGCACACTACCCGCTAGCGCGCGCTAGGGGTCGCTAAGGCTAGCTGTGGGTAGTGGTCATAACCAAACCACCAGCCAACTCAGCGCCACGTAGGTATTTTACCATTCCACAACCAACCCACTTAGGTATTTTACCATTCCACAACCAACCCACTGGGTTGTGAAAATGGTGTTCACCGGTGGTTGGTAGTCATGGGCCAAAAAAGAGGAGAGAGAAGGAGAGAAAATGTGAGGGAAAAATGAATGCACCAATCAAAAGGCTCGTCTTCTCATCCACCAGACATCACTCCACACCCAAACCACCGGTACACGGGGCGGTGTTCACCGGTGAGTTGGTGTGCCACATAGGAAACTCACGCGTGGATTTACACCCACTCCGGATAGCCTAAGAATAATTCGTCAAAAAGTTGATGAGAGAGGAGAGAGAGATCTTGCTTGTGATTGGTGGACCCATTTAAGTGGATTGCAATCCTTTTTGACAACAATTCAAACAATTAAAAACTCTAACTTTTTACCGACCTCTTTTTTTATTAATAAATTCGGTTTTTACTCCAATTTAATGTTTTCATTTATTTCCCACCAACTAACATATAATTTAATAAAAAAAAACCTTTTTTTTATTTTTCTTTTTTATAATTTTCAATTACAATTTATCTACTATAAATTACACTACACCCTCAACCTTTCAAACACACAAAATATCATTACCTTTCTCACAAACACTCTCAACATTTTACAGCCTCAACATTTTACAAACACAAAAATGTCTTCAACTCCACCAAAAAAACCCCAAAGAACCAATAAGAATAAAACTTCAAACCTTCAATCACTAAACCTTCTACCTCCGGACACTCAATCATCAAACCTTTCATCCCCAAATCTTCCATCACCACCATGTCGACCATCTTTTGATCAACAAATTCACTCTCATGCTAGCTGCTACTTTCTTACAATGGCTCCGCAAATGTATCCATTTAAACCGTTCTCTTCTCAACCAATGAGATTTTACCACAACCAATCTCAACGAATACCTCGTATGAATGTGGATCCGTTTGAAACGGTTCAAGAAACTCAATTCTTTTCTCAACCTCAACCGCAAACTAACTTTCAATCACAACAACGCGCCTACTCGAGGAGTCAACCGATTCTTCCGTTGAAGGTGTCGTTGAAGATCCCGTTCAAAAATCATTTCAAGAGCCCGAAGTCGAACCAAAAGCACAAAAAAAGGAGCACAAGGTTCATCAACTGACGTGGAAGAGATACTGAGCGACATCAAAGCGTTGGATGCTAAGCTTGAGAGTTTTTTTGGAATTGGGATAATAAACTTGTCCAAGGAGGATCGTCGGATTTTTAACAATGCAAAACAGGATCTTGCTAAAGAATACAACTGGGATAAGCCGTATGTATTAAGGCGTGTATGTCAGTGTTAAGCCATGTTTTTCGTAATTTGAATTATTAAATCGTGTTTTTAAGTATTTTAAGTTTTAATTTATTGTAACTTTTTTAATTTAATATGAAATGTTTGTGTTTTAAAAAATAATTTATATTATATTAATTGTTTGTGGTTTAAAAAAATGTGTTTAATATTTATGCACAAGAATGTTTATATATTAAAATAGAGTAATTTAATTAAATTAGGAAAAGAAAAAAAAAAGGAATGCTAGGAGTGTTACCACTCCATATCAAATGCTAAGATTAGGTGGAAAATGGTAAAAATTGAAGTGACACTCAAAAATTTGTCATGACAAGGTGTTATGAGTGTTACCACTCTTTTTAACCGGATGGTGGTAGATTTTTTTGGCAAAACGAAGTCTTTTTAGTCAAAATGACTTATGTGGTGATTTAAAAAAAATATTTGAACTATTAACAAATTAATAAGTTTTTTTTATTTATTAAAAAAATATTTGTTTAAGCTTATACATGTTTTAAAGACTTTTGTTTTTTACAACTCAAAAGTCATAAGGAATTTTGAAAAGTTGAAAATCTTAACTTATCGAAATCTCTTCTTTAAAGATTGATAAGAAATTATTTTAATAGTCCTTCTCACAATATCAATTTTTTTTTTAATTTATTGCTTTTTCAAAAAACTAATAAATCAGTAAGTTGTTTTAAATGAAATCCTAAACACCCTCCTAATGAGAAACGTTCACATAAACAAGATAAAGTAGCCAAATACAACACATCAAGAGTAGTCGAGGTGGCAAACTTGTCGGGTTGAGACTTAAGACTTGAACAATATAAATTGGTGTTTTGTTGAAAATTAAGACTTTGGACAAGATAAATTGATCATAATCTAAATCCTAATCTAATGCGTTAAATTATTATGTCTTGTCAATCTTACAGTTTAATCATTCTATGGTGTCAATCTGTTTATTTTCGTGACGTGATTTTGTGTCAAGCTATGTGTTGGGTTGGTGAGTTAATGGTTTAGACATCGTAATAAATAGAAAAATTAGGAGTTAGGATGTACGGGTATCATTAATTTTTTTTCTATCTCATATTTTATATTCGACACTTATTTTGACCTAATAAATAGAAATATTAATATTAATAAAATATAGAAGGATATTTGCTTTCTCATGTTGGTGATTTTGTATCATCAATGTGTATTTAAGTGTAATGGATTGACCCGTTGACCAAAATTCAATCTTGATGAATATTAAACAAGTAAGGAAGGTGCGGAGTGCACACTTGTTTAAGTTTATTCAAGATTCAAAGTAGACTGTCATTTAGGGGTGAAGCCCCTAAACGAACGGGGGTCCGGAGGCAGCGCCCCTGGGAGCGGGGTCCAAGGGGCGGCAGCCCCTGGCAGGGTCCAAGGGGCTGAGCCCCTGGCTGGGTTAGAAATCTGAATTTTCTGTAAATGAACCCGATTTTTTACTTCATTTTGACCTATATTAAGAATCCGTTTTTAGTGACTGTTATTGGTTTTGAGAGTTGAAGTAGTTTTTTGGACAAAGAAAACTGCCTTGTCAGTTTTCAGACAAATGAACCACTTAATCATTTTGGTCATCATTTTTCCTGGTACAACAACACACGAAATTCATAACACCCAGATTTTCTGTTCTTGTTCTCATTTCTGAGTCTTATCCGATTAAAGGGTGGGAGTACCACCCAAATACTTCAATCTGAAAGTGTATACACAATTCTCAGAATTTCAAGGCTATTATTATCCCAAATTTCTAACAAACATTAAAGTATTCTGTGATCATGGCAAGTGGTGATTCTTTGAAGGAAATGAAAAGTAAGTTTGAAAAATCGAACAAGTTTGAAGGGCAAGATTTTCGTAGATGGCAGAAGAAGATGAAGTTTCTCCTTACCACTCTGAAAGTGGTGTATGTTCTGAGTACACCCATGCCTGTCTTACCAGAATCTGTTGAAGAGGAACCTTTGGAGGCAACAAGAAGAAGATCAAAGTGGGATAATGATGATTACATATGTCGTGGTCATATTATCAATGGTATGTCTGACTCTCTTTTTGATATCTATCAAAATTTCGAATCTGCAAAAGAATTGTGGGATTCTCTTGAATCCAAGTACATGGCTGAAGATGCTTCTAGTAAGAATTTTCTTGTTAGTAACTTTATGGGTTACAAGACGATTGACTCCAGGCCTGTTATGGAACAATTCCATGAAATGTTAAGGATTCTGGGACAGTTTGCTCAACACAATTTGAAAATGGATGAAGCCATTTCTGTGGCTGTGATCATTGACAAACTGCCCCCTTCCTGGAAGGATTTTAAACACAATCTGAAACATAACAAAGAGGAATTGACTTTGACTCAACTTGGAAGTCATTTAAGGATTGAAGAGTCCATAAGGACTCAAGAACTTGACAACAATCCTAAAGGCAAGAACCAAGTTGGTTCCTTTTCTGTGAACATGGTGGAAGGAGAAAGTTCAAAGAATCCCAAGAAGTTTAATGGAAAAAGGAAGTTTAAAGGAAAGGATGACAAGTCTTCCAACAAGAAGGCTAAGTTGGTTTGTTGGAATTGTAACATATGTCGTGGTCATATTCTCAATGGTATGTCTGACTCTCTTTTTGATATCTATCAAAATTTCGAATCTGCAAAAGAATTGTGGGATTCTCTTGAATCCAAGTACATGGCTGAAGATGCTTCTAGTAAGAATTTTCTTGTTAGTAACTTTATGGGTTACAAGATGATTGACTCCAGGCCTGTTATGGAACAATTCCATGAAATGTTAAGGATTCTGGGACAGTTTGCTCAACACAATTTAAAAATGGATGAAGCCATTTCTGTGGCTGTGATCATTGACAAACTGCCCCCTTCTTGAAAGGATTTTAAACACAATCTGAAACATAACAAAGAGGAATTGACTTTGACTCAACTTGGAAGTCATTTAAGGATTGAAGAGTCCATAAGGACTCAAGAACTTGACAACAATCCTAAAGGAAAGAACCAAGTTGGTTCCTTTTCTGTGAACATGGTGGAAGGAGAAAATTCAAAGAATCCCAAGAAGTCTAATGGAAAAAGGAAGTTTAAAGGAAAGGATGACAAGTCTTCCAACAAGAAGGCTAAGTTGGTTTGTTGGAATTGTAACGAACCGGGTCACTTCAAGAAAGATTGTCGTCTTCGCAAAGTGAACAAGGATGGTGCTGG